GGGCTCTAGGGATCCCTTGGGGCTCTGTCCTCCCTTCCTTGGGGTCTGTCCCCTCTCCATGGGGGCTGTAGGGACCTTTCGGGGCTCTGCTCCCCATCCTTGGGGTCTGTCCCCTCTCCACGAGGCTCTCAGGTGCCCTGCGCTGGTTCTCCCTTTCTGCAGGGAGGTCTGTATCCCCGGCCCTTTCCCAGTTCTCCCCCAGGGATGTGGTCTCAGGCTGCAGCCCCCTGTGCGGAGCCGCTGGCTGCAAGCGGGGGTCCCCTGTCCCCGCACTGCGCTGTGCTGTGCTGTGAGGAGCTGCAGGCAAGATACAGAGTCCTGGTATCGCACCCCTTTCCCCACGCTTTTCTCCTAAATCGCTCCCCTGCTCAAAGCTCCGGGTCCTGCTCTGGGGGGAAGCTCTGATTTCCCATCCCTGTCCCCTTAGCTGGGCAGAGGGAGGGCCAGGTCACCCCAGAGCCTGCTCTGTGATGCTGGAGAGCCCAAGGACTTTTCCAACGCTCTTCCACTGACTTTCTGCTGTACCAGGGTGGGAGGAATGGATAGAGCTTGCCTCCCGAGCCTGCTGTTGTCCATAGGTGTAACATCCTCAATGACCAATGCAGGGAATCCCCTTCTCGGCTCCCTGTCCTGCTGCCCTCCTGCAATCTCTTCTCCTCTAAGCCAGCCAGGGAGGATTTTCTGGCTTCCACGTTGCCAGCAAATCAGTAAGATCAGTGAATTTCGTAGGTGGAAGAGGCAGAAACAGAGTGTCGGTGGATGGTAAACCCTTTGTGGCTTGTAGGGCCTCACCTTGCGGGTGCCGGCTGGAGCTCTCCCTCTCTTATGCACCTGTGTCCAGGAAGGGGGAACTGCAGCTCCACAGATCCCCTCTCCTTTCGGGAAGGTGCCTCTGGGCCAGCGCAGGAACGTCCCTGATCCTGTGCCCTGCAGGAAGGGAGAGCCCAGGATGCCCGTCAGGTCCTGCGCTACCTGAGAGGAGCTACCGAGGGAGCTCCCTTTGTTTATGGCGTCTCCTAGGGCTTCTGCTGTTCTGTCTCGGTCCTTCTGCCCCTCGGGAGGGAAGGGAGCCTGTTTTCCTTATTCCTCTATGAAGTGCAGGCTTCATTCCTGCCCTGGGATCTGTGTTCCCTTTCCGAGGCCCTGAGGGGAGCTACCTGAGCCTGCAGCCAGCGGTGTTGAGGTACTTGGTCAGATCAGAAGTTCTGAGAAAGAGCAATCAGACAAGCTGAAACTGGGAGGCAGCTGTGGGAGGCAGCAATAGATACCTGTGCGAAACCTCCTTTCGTAGTGTCATCTGTGACTGGGAGGCAGCCTTCTCTGCTGTAACTGAAACCCATGGATGATAATAGCGCAGTAACTGCTTTGTACGAGGCTGAGGAAAGGACATCTGCTCTTCCCTTCTTGCCTAGTCACTGTTTCTTAGTTAAAGATGCCCTGGGGCTTTCCAAGTTGTTGCTGAAGTGGTGCACTTCTGTTGCATGGGTTATGGTTTGCTAGATGTATAGCAATACATCTTACTTGTGTCTGCAGTTCACATTTTTTTGTGAGTGATTTCTTCTGCTGCCCGGAGGATGAAGGAGAAGCCCAGAGATACCCAGGAATGGTGTGGCAGGAAAGCCTGTGTCCTGTTCCAGAGGCCCTTCTGTGCTTCCATGCTGGAGAGCGTGGAGGGACTGGGCAGCGGAGTTACTCTCTGCCAGAGGGGCTTTGTCTCTTGATGGTTGCTTTGTTTTGGACAGCTGAGCTCAGGAGTTGAGACAAAAGTTCCCTAATCCTCTCGAGCTGCCTCTCTGTGTCATGGAGACCCAGCACTGGCCATGGCCACTGGGGCCGCAACGCATTGCGTGCCTGTGCTCAAGTTCAGGTTACTTATCAGTGCTAATAACAGCAAATCCCTTTGCAGAGGGAGGAGTATGAGGGGGGCTGCAGCACGAGAGCTGTGTTCGTGTCGTGCTGTGAGCAGCTGAGCTGCCCTGCAATCCCCGTGGTCTCTGCATGCAGGAACACAGCCTCAGGTCCTGCTGCTGCCCGTTCAGGAGCAGCAAGACCAGCAACGAGCATCATTTGCTTAGGTGCTGGCTTGTCGCAGCAGTCTCAGTACTGAAATGTGTCCCCACTCAAACATCTGGCACACTATGAAGGGCACACAAGTCATCCAGAGACAGCAAAGTGGTATTGAACCAAAGCCAATTTCCCTTTCAGCTTCATGTTTTGAACCAAGTGGGATCCTATTCATGGCAATTTTGGTCCCTTGTTAACTTAGGGCATTTTCACATATATGTTGTAGAAGGTGACCAGGCTTTGGGGCAGCTGACAGCTTTAGAAACACTGTTCTGGAGCTTCAGAAAGACCAAGCACCTGTGTGCAGGAGCTGGTAGCACTGCCTTTGCTTCAGAGACCTGTCTTTCCAGCACAGCTCCAGAGCTGCAGGATGCTTTCTAGGCTACAGCTTCTCCAGGGGTCCCTGCAAAGCAGCAGTGTTTTGGTTCACCACTCCATATTACTTTGTAGTATTTGGTGCAGTAGCTGATGGCAAGTACTCCAAGCGTGGTCTGTAACGATTTCTTTTTCTTTCTTTAACAGCTGCCCCTTCCTTGCGAGTCACCTGACTCTGGCCATCCCCGTCATCGCAGCTGTCCTCTTCTTCTTTGTCATCAGCTGTCTGCTTCAGACGAGCTTCAGAGATCCAGGTATCCTGCCTCGAGCCACCCCGAGTGAAGCCGCAGATCTGGAAAAGCGGATCGGTGAGACTCCTGTGCCCTCTCCTGTCCTTGCTTTGGTGCGTGTGTGGGGGGGCATTTCAGGCTCAGCCGGTCTTGGCTCCTTAACACTCATCTTAGGGGAGAAAGGCTCCAGATCAGGAGGCTCTAGGGCGTTTTAGGAGCCCTGTGAGAGGAGTGAAAGCTCCTGCAGCACGTCACACTGTGCCTTAAGAAGGGGGTCTGCAGGGAAGCACTAGTGGTTTCCTTTTCTGTTCAACCCATCACTTTCCCAAGCAGAGGTCTGTGCAAGGCGTTGGAGGCTATGACTGTTCCTGCCCTCAGGACTGCGACCTGCCTGGGCCGTGGCCACATGCAGAGCTCAGATGAGGGGGAGCTGGCAGCATCAGTGCCTGGAGAAGTCGCATCCCCAGTCACAGCCCATCTGTGTGGTGCTTTTAAGCAGTGACAGTGTTTTCAGTACTGGTACTGGGATTTATGATGGTCTGAATTCCCCTGAATTTTCACTGAATTATAATCCAGGCTTGAAAACTTTTATTTACTTTTTTATTTTTTTTCCCTCTTGGAAGAGCCAGTTCTTTGCTATTTCTACATTTTTTTCACTGTGTGACATGATGTGGCTGACCATGATAAGAAGGAAAGCTGCTGAGGATTAACTAAGTAATATTTATAAAACTGCTGAAACCAGAGGCATGCCTCGAAGATAAATAGCATTAATGCTCGGTCTTTTTTTGCTAATCCCCTGTCTTCTGGAATTTGAAAGGAGAATTTTCCTTGGCCAACAGGTGATGGACAGGATCCTTGAGTTGACCTCCTGGATTAGAGAAGTCGGTCTAAAAACATGCAGAAATAAAGTGTTCTTTTTGTGTTTTAATGAAACAATTGCAACTAAACTCAACTGATCCCGAAAAAAAAGAGACTGTTCCAAGCCTGAGAATAGTTCTGTAGTCAGCTGAACCCGTTCCGAGTGTAGTCCACTGCCGAGCGGATAATCTTATCTCTGGCTGTTCCTGCTGCCTCCCTTACACTGGTGTTTGGGTGGTCGCTAGTGAGCGGGAGCAGGGAATTTGCCTGCACAAACACTGACATAGTGTTTCTTGCTACTGTCAGCACCGGAAAGGTGGCAGCACCGTGAAGCAGAGAGCGGGACTGGATTGATGGGAGAAGTGGTGAAGTGAAAGGAATTAGTGGATTTGTAGCCTTAAAGCACCCTGCTGGATTCCTGGCTGCTGTATCTGGAGTGGAGCGGGGAGATTACTGACACTGTTGTTGCTATTTTTTGTGAAGATTGATGCGGGAGGAACTGAGCACGTAATTTGTATGTTAGCTGCAGGCACCCAGGGCTCACACCACCCCTCATGGAAACTCCTGCTGGTTTTAGTGGATTTTCAAGCTGCTTCTGGTGAAGCACAACAAATCTCTACTTAGGTTGTGCCACAGACTGTGCGGGTTGATCTCAAAAGCTTAAGCCTTATAAGGCAAAAGGCTGTCAGCCCAGTTTAGCCCCCTGTCCTTGCTTTTCTCTGCAAGTGCTTCGTTCTGCTTCTGGAAATGCAGTTAGATCCATCTGGAAAGGTCTCTGGGTGAAGGCACCACAGCTCGCTGGGGAGAACAGGGGTCCTGGTGCCCAGGGCAGCCTGGGCTGCATCTTTGCTCGTCTGTGGATCCATTTTACTGACCAATGCTGTGAAATTGGTGCATGTGCAGGTGGAAGGTTTAGCCCGGAGCTTCAAGGAACCTTTTCTGTGCTTGGCTGTTAACGGAATTTCATTCAGACTCATCTCGACTTCTCAAGAAGCCTTTGAAAATCCCATCCTTCCTGAAGGACGCTGGGCCAGGTGTCCCAGCAAAAGACTCAGCTCAGCAACCACCGCTGCTTTTAACCCCCCTCGTCTTGTTGGTGCCTCTCAAAGAGGAGCCTGGTGCTGAGGACAGCCTTGCAGACAGGGTGCTGAGAGGGCTGCCTGTTCTGCTGCTCTTTTCTTCCCTCAGAAGAAAGACTAGTCTGAGAGAGCCTCTCCCCTTTTGTTGCAGTGCATTAATTACTCTGAAAGTTGTCCAAACTAGGAGGGAGCTTGCAAGTTTTCCTACAAAATGTCTGTGTCGGGGACTTGGGACAACTAATTTAGGAATATTTTTTAAGGCAGGGATTTGCAACGTAGCTTGCCGTGTCTCAAGGTCTCCTTTGTTTCTAGCAGTCTGCTAATATTTGTTTCTGTCTAAAAACTGCTCTGTCACATTAGGTTTGTGGTAGCCAAGAAAGTGTGTGCATTTGGGCTCTGTACATTGCTTTGATGTTGTCCTTGGTAACAGATGCTTTAGCCAAGCGAATGTGAGAGAACTTGAATCTGGCTCTACTCGAGATGGTTGCAAGGTACTAATTCTCTGTCTGCCCATGCAGCTAGTTTTAAAATATCCTCAGAGGGGTTAGCCCTGTTTCTATTTTGAAGTGCCTAAAGCTGTAAGCTGGCTGCTGGCTGTGCCAGCTGTTACTGTTGAAATAATCAATTAATTTTCTTCTTAAGTCACTCACTAGTAAATCTCTATTTTCAAACACTTCCTCAAATCTGGAAAGATGTTATTTTAAGGGTGTATCAAATGAATTATTAAATAACCTCCCAAATGGCAGACATGATACAGAGGTTTCCCAGCTCACACTTTTGCTGTTTGGAGAAAATCTACAGCTGTCAGTCCCAAATTACCAGTCAATTGCTAGCAAACATGTAAGGTCCTCAAAATATTTTAATTTCAACCTGGAGGTGAATAGCTGCCCTCGTGCTATTGATGTGTATGTGTTATTTTCAGTGAAATCTGTGTGGAGCACTTGACACCTGTTGTTGTCCCCTTCTGTCACGAAAACGAGTGTCTGGGTGGTGGCTGCGCTGCTGGTTTGAGCTCCACGTTGGGGAGCCGTGTGCTGGCAGTGTGCTTTGGCTGAGGTTACCCTAAAGTGACAATTTCTTGATTTCTCTAAATTCAGTCCTGTGCACAGAGCAGAGGATCACGTGCGTTAACGGATCATGTGCCTCTTTGTTGTGATCTGTCAGACGTGCAGAGATGAGTTGGTGTCACTGGGCCGTGGACACTGCTGCTTTTGTGCTATTTATATATTGCTTTATGTTTTCAAAGTGTTAGGCAGATACTGTTTCCTCTTGGCATCCCAACAGCATTCCCATTGAACAGACAGTGAAGGGAGCGTAAGCAGGGCTGTGAGGAGCTCCCTGGAGAGCTGGGCTGCCCGCTCAGAAACAAATCCCACAGGCTGAGCCGCATCCCAGCTTCAGCCCGGGAATGCTGAGCGCGGACGAGAACGTGCCAGCCCTTCTTCTGCCAGGCAGCTGCTTGCCAGGGTTTGCCCATCCTTCCTTCTCCTTGCAGATAACATGGGGACCTCGACGTACCGCCCGCCAGCCCGCACCATGGAGGTGGTGATAAACAAGTACGTGGTGAAGCTGAAGTACTGCTACACGTGCCGGATGTTCCGCCCGCCGCGAACCTCTCACTGCAGCGTCTGCGACAACTGCGTCGGTAAGTGCGGAGGCTGCCGATGTGCTGGCCTCCCTTCTGGAGGGGGAGCACTTCGGATTCGTGGGCAGGTTGCGTTTGCTCCTTTTAGAGGGTTGTGAGGTGAGATGTTGAGTTGTCCTTCTCCTTTCTCTTGCAAATGAGAGGCCGGTGCAGTGGCTTCAGGCTGGGGGATACTGCATCTGCTCTTCCTGTGAGGATGCAGAGCGGTGGAACAGTGAGGCTCCTTGCCTCTGGGCAGGGCTGTGGAGGCAGCTTCACGGGCTCTGATTTAGCCTGTCTGCTGTGCCCTCGGGTTCTGGTGGAACAGGAGGAACGGGAGAGAAGGAAAATCTGAAGAAAAGCCTCTGGTAGCTCCACACAATGAGGCCCTAGGCAGGTGGGGCGGATGCGGGAGGAAATGAGCGGATGATGAGGTTACCTGCTCAGTCTGGCTGTGCAACTTGAAGGGACAGGAGGGTGACACACAATGGGGTGGCATGTCCAGAGAGTTCGGTGCCCAGGGGTGGGCGTCTCATGTGCTGCAGGCTCTGCATTAGCTCTGCAGACCTGACCAACCCAAGTGGTGCAGGATCCCGAGGACTCTCCTTGAGAAAAGGCTGCACATTGCTGGCTGTGTGCCTGGAGGTAGTTGTGGATGTTGTGACTGCTCCTTACACCAGAACAGCTCACTGCATAGTAGCTGTGCTGGGGACAGCGTTGGGAGGGAGCCTCGCGGAGGAGCAGGCGTCTTCCTGCCTTGGTGTGTTTTACTGGCATCAGTTGCCCCTACGCCGCAGCTGCAGCAGTCCTGCCTTTCAAGAGAAGACAGCTTGGAGTATTTCCAGATGTGTTGCATGTGCTCTGGGTTCCTAGGCAATTTTTGTGGTTTTTAGAGGCGTATCTTCATGACTTTGGAAACTATTTTCTGCTCAGAAGAATGCAAGAGGGGGCTGCTGCACTAAAGGGGAGCAACGATGCTCAGTGCCCACACCCAGCAGTGCAAGACAGTGGAAAAACATCTGCACTTTCCATACCTTCTTTCAGTTTTAGTAGTGGTAGATGATACCAGGCTCAAGGTTTGTATTTATGTGGGGCTTGGAAAGAGGAAAGATTTGGCTTTTAATGTTATAAAAGGGCATGTCAGCAGGCTGCAGTGCTTTGTTGAAGCTTGATGCTAATGTACTGCTGCTAAGAGGTTCTGATCTTAAAGTGTGGTGGGTGGAAGCTCTGTTTGCAGCCCCTGAATCCACGGAGGTTCAGCGACGTTCGCTGTGTTGCAGCGTGCAGGATGACGGCAGTGCTCACGGTGTTGCTTTCTTTCAGAGAGGTTTGATCACCACTGCCCCTGGGTGGGCAACTGTGTGGGGAAGCGCAACTACCGCTACTTCTACGCCTTCATCCTCTCCCTCTCCTTCCTGACCGCCTTCATCTTCGCTTGTGTCGTCACCCACCTCACTCTGCGTAAGTACCGCGGTTGCTGGGAGCAATGAGCAACTTGAGGCTCTGTTGAAGCTCCCAGTCCCTGTTCTTCGTGAACAGAGAAGGGGCTGGTCTTTGGTTAAATACGAGTCCCACTGCAGGGAACCCTAGATCCTGCACCTCGCTGCAGAGAAATGGTGACGCTTGGGACTGGGTTATTCCCTCCAGAGCAGATGGGTTGTGTGTGATGCTAGGGCAGTTGTGGACGAGAGGGCTTTGGGTGCATCCACCCTGGATCTCACAGGGAGGGTGACTTGCCTGCCAGCCCTGAACCTCTCGGAGCTGTCTCTGCTCACAGACATTTCTGCAGAGTTTCAGGCTCTGGGCAGCCGGGCAGGTCTGTGTGACCTGCGGGAGGGCAGCTGTGTACTCGGGAGGGAGGGAGCTTGGCTGGAGATGCAAGGCTGCCTGATGGAACATAGTTCCTTGTCATGTTTGCTTTGCAGGCTCTCAGAGAGATGGATTCCTCACCACGCTGAAGACAACACCTGCAAGATATCCTTCTGATGCTCTCAGTTGCTTAGACTGGCGAGCCCTTGTGCAGCAGCACTGACAGTGTAATGTGGGAGCGCAATGTCTTCTTCCAAGGGGCACTGTGGTGTACTTCCAAAATCTGATTTAGGCCCCTAGCTGCTTGTGAGGGCAGGCAGGCATCTCTCCGTTTGTAGACTGATACTGCCACCAAAGTGGTAGGACTTTTAGTTCCATATTTAGGTCCTTGCCACTGAAATGCTCTCTCCTTGCTGGGAATGGGGGCACCTTTTCCCTAGAAGAAGGTATGAGCAGGTACTGTGTTGTGTGGGCTTCTCAGCCAACCCCTCAGTACCAAGGGTTCTTGGAAGGCCCACTGCATGTGGTCTTTACCTTGGGTACCTCCCAAAACAGCTCTTCACCTCTCCCTACAGGAAGATTTTATTCTATGAGACTTCCTTGACTCCTTTCTTTTTTTTATTTTTCACTGTGCTGGAGCTGGTGATTTGTTTTTTCTCAGTCTGGTCTATTTTGGGCCTCTCAGGTTTTCACACTTACTTAGTTGCCTCCAACTTGACCACAAATGAAGATGTAAGTACTTGGATGCTTGTTCTTTCACAGGGAAGCAAAGGAAACCCCTCGGGTGTAAGTGGGGCTGCCAGCCCTGCAGCTTTCCAGGCAGAGGTGGCATTTTCAGGGCGGCCTCAAATGGGTGCAGTGTGTTCAGATAGATGCATGTGTAGAAAATGGTGCAGGAGCATCATGTTGGGAAGGCAGCATGTGCTCCTTGGCAGCATCAGGCTAGGGAGTATCTGGCTGAGATGTTTGAAAAGTTATGTGCTTTTTTCATTTCTTTTCTTTTTTGGTTAAATTGGGAGTTCTGAGGTTTAAAAAAAGGAAGGCTGCCCCCAGAGATTTGGGGTTTAGCTTGGAACATGGGTGGTCTTAATTCAGCATTCAGGGCAACCACAGATTTCCTCTGAGACCCTGGGCAAGTCCCTTTGTCACTTCAAGTGCAATAGGCAAATAATGTAGGGACGTCTTCTGAAGATATTTACCATACAGAGCGGGGTGTGTGCAGGCTCAAAGGGCCAGACGAGAACCCCGAGCACGGCGGATCGTTTGGAAAAGCGGGATCTAGCTGGTCCTTGGTGAGAATCAAAATTCACCCTTCAGGCCACAGACCCCTGTAAGGCCTGCTGGAAGCTTCCATAGCTACAGAAGAAAGGTCTGCATTTTCCTTTTTTCTTTTCCTTCCTGCTCTATTATGTCTCGAGGTATTAGCAGGACTGTGTTGAGGGCACCGAGTCCAGAGCATACGGCCCATTGCTTCTCTGGTTGCACTGCCAGCTTGGGCTGCACCTGGGGAGGGCAAGTAAAAACAAAAAGAGGAAATGCGGGGGTAAATGGTGCCCTTCAGGCAGGGGCTCGTGGCCAGGTATAGCATCTGCCCACGCTCGTGTGCCCATGGTTGACTTGCTTGGGGTTTCAAAATCAGAGTCCCAGTGGCAGCTGCTCAGGGCGTGGGCGGGTGACGTGGTTTCCTTAGCAGAAGGGCCTGGGAATCCCCTTGGGGTTAGTTTAGCCCGGGGAGCACACGAGGTACCCTCGGCTAAGAGCGCTGCTTCTGTGAGCTTCCAGCCTGGGAAATGAGGGGAAAAAAGAGGCTGGAGTTGAAGGCGATGATTCTAACAAGTTGCCATGAAGCATGAGGAGGTCGCAGCCTAGGGGCTTTGTAGCTGCGAGGTTGAACCTAAAGGCAGGACAACGTATTGCTATCTCCTCTGGCTGCCTTTCTTCAGCTCAGCTGTCCTGCTTGCTGAAGCAAAGAAGAGGTTATTTTTATCAGGGCAGAAGCTGTTTGCCTCCTGATCGAGGATTTTCGCTTACTTTTATTATCATGTAATTGTATCACATCTTTCCCATCTTAATTTACATGTGTCTTTTCCCTTTCAGATCAAAGGGTCCTGGTCAAATAAGAGGGGCTCAGAGTTTGCCAATCCTTACAGCCATAAAAGTATCCTCACAAACTGCTGTGCGGTGCTGTGTGGGCCCTTCCATCCCAGGTAAGAGCTTGTCCCCTGCTCCGCACTGGGAAGCGCATCCTGCTGCGAGAGGGGCTCCAGAAAGTGCAGACTGATGGTGGTTCACCAGAGTTTGTGCCAGCCAAACACATCTGCTGCCGTGAGGTTGAAGAGCAGTTAACACAGGCTTAACACGTACGTTTCCTCGTCTACTGCAAGGATTGAGCACCGGGCTGTAACTCTTGGCAAGCAATCAGCAAGGTTCTGCACCAGATAAGATTGATCCTTAAGCAACACTTGAGTTGCCTGAACTGCTTTATAACATCCTACCAAATTCTCTTACCTGTGAGTTAACCAGAACGTTTATTAAAACAGAGGCAAAGGCAGTTCCCTCCTTGTGCAGTAAAATAAAGCTTTGGGCCTGGAGCATGCTCATCTCTGGGCTGCTCTTCCTTCATCCCATCAGCAGTGTAGAATTATCACCTCTCTGTCACAAGGGGGTGCAATTGGGCAGAGTTGGGCTGGAATCCTCTTACCTTTGGCTGCTGGTATTGAGGACCTGCACTCTGACTTGGAGCTCCTGGGCTGTCTTAGGACATGCAGGTCTCCTTGAGATGCATTTTGTTTGCTGGGAACCTCTTGGGATTTACACAGAGCATCCTAGCAGTGCTAATTCAGTGTCAGGTAACAGCAGAGGAAGGTGCCTGAGATTTCAAGTGAGGCCACATAGCTAGAGGCCCTGTGTTCTCCCTTGGTGTCCTGACCTGCTCTCTGCAGTACCCCTAAGCTCATGGTTGGTCCAAAACTGCTGAAATGCAACTGCTGCCGCTCGGGAATGGTAAATCTGCAGATTGGGAGAGCTGAGCTGGCAGGAGGGTAGCGTTTTACTCCAAGCCTTCTTTCTCGTTTGTGTTCTTTTCCTGTTGTAAAGTCCTTTAGCCAGTTCCCGTTTGGGTTTGTGGTGACCCAAAGCTGTTACTGTGTGAAGACTGTTTGATGGCTTGTGCGATAGGTCTGTGACTCATCTAATAGACGAGGAGCTGTGTTGTCCAAACCGCTCCTGCTGATGCTCTGGTTAGCAGCTCCCACAGGGAGACCCACCTCTCATCTGTGAGCCCCCGTCGTTGTGCCGGGGGCACCTGCGTGTCAGGCCTTGTGGGCAGAGTAGCTTTAGCAGCTGCTCAGCACATCTACTGAATGGATCAAGACCTGCTTTAAAACTCCGTGCTGGGCTGGGGGCTCATGCTGGGGGTGGCTGTGCAAGCCAAAACCCTGCAGTGAGTGCTGTCTGTTCTCTGCTCCTTCACTTGGCTGCTCTCACGACACTGGGAAAGGGAGTTTTCACTACCAGGCATCTTCACTTTGTGCAAACTTTAAAGACCCTCTTTTATGCTATCTTTTTTTTTTTCTGTAGAAATTTTTTGATTGAACTTGCATGTAGGTTAGAGTCTTTGTGTCCTGAGAGTTGTAACTCCTCTCTTTACCCTTCTGTTTTCCAGTTTGATAGACAGAAGAGGATTTATTCAGCCAGAAGTCGGCACGCCGTCCAGTCCTAAGAATGAACCCCCTTCCTTTGGAGCCAAAACTGACACCAGCATGGTAGGAGGCATTCCCTAGTGGTGCCGTGTCACAGCCCACTTGGGCCTGCACCAAACTCCAGCCACTACCTTCCCTCTTACCATCCCCCTGGCCTCAGGCGGGACAGCCCTGTGACACAGAGCTGCCAAAGACTCAGAGGAGCCATATGTTGCCTTTTTTTTTTTTTTTAATTTATTTATTATTTTTGATTATTTGTCTCACTGTGATGTGGCCTGCCTGGACTTTCAACTGATAGAGTGTGCAAGACCCTCAGACTCGAGCAGAAAGCAGGGGTCCACACTGCAACTGGGAAGCAAATAGGTGTGAGAGCCACTGGCCTGCTGGGCCTGGGGCTCCAGGGCTGTGCTCAGCCCGAGGAATGAGGAGGGGGGCCAAGGAGGGCAGGTGGGCACAGGCCACCAGTCCGTGTTCTGAGCTGTGTTGCCCGGCCTCATCTTTTGGGCTGGCAGAGATGGAAGTTCCTTGGTATTCCCGATATCTCCGTGAATGCCTTCTGCTGTGTGGAGGGGTTTGGTGTCTTAATGTCCGCGTTCCCGGTGGCTGCAGGAGCAGCTCTCTGTTCTGGAAGCTGCTGTGCCTTGATGAGTTGCGGCGGGTTTCCCGGGAAGGCTCCCTGGCTCCCAGCAGGTGAGGAAGCTGCCTAGATGTCCCAGCTGCCGTTTGATCCCGTTTTCTGGCTGGTCTCTAAGGGAGTGCTGAAGAGCTCTGAGTTTCAGCTGGAAAGAGCTTTGCAGCCAGGGCATGAGTTAGGAAAAAACTCATCTTCACAGGGAAAAAGGCAAAACTGTGCAGTGTCCAGCAGCCCTCGTGGTGAGATGCTGCCTGGAAAAGAACAGTTGTAGGATTTGACCTCAGCTTGCCAGGAAAGCCCGGCTCACTCCTGTCCGTGGGACTCTTAAAGGCAACAGAAGAGCAGGTGAATTCCTGAGGGTCACAATCTTCCTAGCGGGAGTTACCCAGGGGAAGCGCTGAGCAGGTGCTGGTCTCTGGTAGCCTCATGTTGTGCTCTTGGGTTTGAGTTTGTGGCCAGCAGATGACAGCAGGACTGTCCACAGCCCCTCGGGAACGATCCCTGTGTCCTGGCACGGGCTTCCCACACTGCTCCCAAGGCAGCTCTGCATGTTCCTATCACTGGAGCACACATAGAGGAGAGTACCAGACCTTGCCAGCAATACTTGAATCGTGTTATTAAAAGCTGCTGGATATTTTTGCACAATTTGTAGATTTTTTCTACGTAGAAAGTTTTATATTTGGTGTAGCTAGTGCTGTGCATGTTAGCAGCGGGGCAGCCTTGCAGTGCTTCGTGTCAAGCCGCCTGCTTTCGGTTCCCGTGGCTCGGCCACAGACACCTCGTCCTAACAGCAAGGAGCCAAGGAGCTCCTCTGCCGCCCTCCCCAGCTCTCCGGGGGTGGCACGGCAGCTCCCTCGGGTGCTTTTCCTTGGCCGTTTTGTTTCTGGCACCTCGGAAAGGTGCCCCTGGCCGCGTGGTTGGGATGGGGGTGTCAGCCCGCTGTGACCGCCAGCAGGAGGACAGGGCGACACCGGCACCGCGACACCCTCCTGCTTCCTCCGGAGACCCGTCCCAAGCCAAACGCTTCCCTGTTTGTCACCTTACCTGGCAGCAGCTTGTGCCCGGGCAGGGAGGGAGCTGGCACCGTGCGGTGCCATCTCTGCTTCTCCCATGTTCCCGAAGGGATTGGTCGCGGCCCTCGAGGAGCCTCGGTGCTCCCTTCCAGCGGCAGCCGCGGGGAGCCAGGGGTGCTGCGGGGCCCAATGCCTTCCAGCTTCTATTTAAACCGGTTTCTTTTGTTACTCGACATAATAAAATTATATTTTTAAAGAGTTAATTGCTTGGGTTTTCTTTTTATTTATTCCTTTAACATGCAAGAGGGCAGCTGTCTGTTATAACATCCCCCCTGTGAGGTGGGAGTTGGGCTCTTGGTCCCAGAGCCCTCCTGGAAGCTCCTGCGCCTTCCCGCGGGATGGGGACACTTGGCCGCAGAGCCCAGGAGCCCTCCGTGGTGCCACAGCTCCTGCCAGAGCCAAGAGGCTTTTCCTGGCCCGCACCTCCGGCTGGACACGGCTTCATCCCGCATCCAGCTCTGACTGCACTGTCCCACAGCAGCCAAGCGTCCCTTTCCCACCTGTGTCCGTGCCGGATGCGAGGTGTCCGTGCCCAACGCAGCGCGCGCTGTGCCGGCGCGCGCCGAGCCGCGTAATCTCTGGTGTCTTCCCCAGGAGGACGCCTGCCAGGACTTTGCCATCTCCTGCACGGCGTGACGGGATAAGCCCTTCCTCGGACGTTAGCCCCGGCTCCGAGGGGTAGCCGGTAAGAGAGCGCTTGCTTCCCCACTGCGGTCATCCACCCGCTGCAGTGCCCCGTCCCGCCCGTGCCACATGCCCGTGGGGTCCATCTCGCCCATGGGGTCCATCCTGCGACTGGGGCAGCGCCCGGCTGGCACCAGGACGGCAGGGGCAGGGAGCAGCCAGGGAGCGCGTTGCGGCTTCCCGCTGGTTCCTTGCGCGTGCAGCCCGGCACGTGCTCGACCCCAGCAGCCGCTGGGGGTCCCAACGATCCGCACGCTCCTTCCTCGCTGCTCGTGTCCTGGCGGGGCCCGTGGGTCAGGGTTTGGCACCTCAGCACCGGCTCCTGGGGGGAGCGGCCTGTCCTGCTGCACCTCCCACCCCAGTTTTGCCATGGGGGGGGTCTCATGCACCCCATCCGTCCCGCCTGGGGTCAGCTGTAGGACCAGACCGGTGCGGTGCTCCTGGGGTCCCTCCAGCCCTTGCTCTGCCCCCATTCCCCCTTCCCCTCGTGCTGTTTCTGCTGTTAACCTTCTCTTTCTCTGCCTCCGAGCACCCCAGTGCGTTCAGGGCCCCAAAGCCCTGGCGACCTGCAGCCCTCTGCCTCTCTTGGAGTGTGCCAAGGGCAGCGGAGCGACAGCCTCGCCACCACGTGTGCCTCCGCTCGCCAGGCTCGCGCCTGCTGCCCTGCAGGACGGGCCTCCGCGCCGCTCAAAGCCATAAGGACACCCTGCCCCGGGCCGTCACCAGCTCCCGCGTGCAGGGACCGAGGCCACACGGGGCTGCTGGCACCTCGCTCTGCAGCGCAGGGAGCTCCCCGTCCTGGAAGATGCCACGTGGGACTCCAGCGAGCGGGGGAAGCAGCAGCTCCTGTGAGCACCTCTGCGGCCGAGGCCGTCTCGGAGCCGCCTGCACGGGCCCCGCCTCGCGGGGAGCTGCTGCGCGTAGGAATTTACCCTCCAAACACTCTGCTTTCCGTTCGCTCTCTGCGCGGCTCTGCTTTTCAGGGCAAGGGGCTGGACCCCCCAGCAGCTCATCCTGCAGCATCCCTCTCCCCGCGCACGCGGCGTTCCTGGAAGGCCACAGCGCAGGCTGGGCCCTCCGGCCCCTGCAGCCCAGCAGGACGTGACCGCCCGCACAGCTTCGAGCCCATTAGAGTTTGCAGTCTATTTTTTTTTTTTGCCTTTTGTAACAAATAACTAAATAAATTTTCTCCTATTTACTGTAAGCGAGTGCCTGGCTCCTGCTTGGGCGGCGCAGGGGAGCGGCCGCCCGGCCCTGGGTGCCGGTGGCCGGGAGCTCCGAGGCGCTGGCCGGGCGCTGCCTCCCGGGCCACGGCTCTGCGCTCTGGGAAACCGGTCGAGCCGAATGTTTTTTGCAGCTTCTTGGCTAATTTCAAATGCGTTTGGCAGCGGTTCAGCCGGCCTTGGCAGGGACTGAGGCAGCCGTGCTCCTTGAATTGGCTAAGGGGCTCCGGCTGGAGGCTGCTCCCTGCACCGGATGGATGGCCGGAGCGCCGGTGCCGCGGGGAGCCGGCTCCACGGAGCTGCCCGCCTTTGGCCCGCCCTGGTGCCGAGTGCTGAGGTGGGGATGGGGGCAGCAGGCTCCTTCCCCCCAGGTTTCTATGGATATTGCCCCACTCCAGTGAGCCCCGTGCTAGGATCCATCCCCGATCCAGCGGGTGGGAAAGGCGCCCTCTTCCAGCCCCATCACTCCCGCTTCCCGCAGGGGGCCTGTGTGGATGAGCGCGGTGTCATCTGCTCCCAGGACAGACCAGGGGCTGGATCTCGGTCACGGCGGTGCCTGTGGCCACGCTCCTCCGGGCAGGAAGAGGCACCGGAGCCGCCAGGAAACAGCAGGAAAACAGCAGGAAAACAGCAGGAAAAGGGGCCTGCCCGGCCGCCCGCAGCCCCATCCGCCCGGAAAGGCCCCCAATCCCCCCGTGGGGAAGGGCCGGGGTGTTTGCCGGGATGAGTCAAGCGGCGGTGCCGCCGATAAGGCGCCGGGTGCCGCCCGGCCGGCTCCGCGCGCGGCCGGGCCGCGAGGCCGCCGCGGGCGCCCGGCGTGCGCCGACAGGCCGAGAGCGAAACTGCGCCCAGCGCCAAGCCGATCCTAATCGCCCGCGCCCGGCTGCGCGCGGGGCCTCCCCGAGACAGGGGGGAAAGAGAGGAGCAGAGGGGGGGAAAGCTCTGCATTGGGGGGGGTTGCTATTTTGGGGTGAGGGGGAGAGATTTCTGCTCCAAGAAATCCCTGGCATGGGCAGCCCCTGAGTGTGCCCAGCCTGTCCCTCCTGCTGCCGGAGCCGCCGTTGCCTTTAACCCGGGAAGAGCTCGGCTCTGGACATGTCCTGGTGGAGGGCACCGCGCCCCCCACCCCAGCACCAACAAGCATGGGGCTTTTTTGGGGGGAAAAGCCCTAAAAACCATCTCAACATCCGGGCTGCCCCCTAAGCGCCGCGTGTTGCTGTGTCCCACTTTGCTCCCACCGCGCGAGCAGTGGGACGGGGTGGGGGCCGCGTTGCCCCCCCTGGGGTGCGGGCAGGGTCCCTGGGCCCCCCTGTCCCCCCCTTGTCCCCCCAGGGCCCGACGAGGGCGCGCGGCGGGGCGGGGGCCGCGGCGGCAGGGCGGCTGCGCGGCCTCCTGGCTCCTCCCGCTCTTGCTCCAGGCTCCGACGCGCGGCCAAAAGCGGATCCCGGCGGCGGCGCTCGGCACACGCTCCCACGGTCCCGCTCGCCGCCGCTCCGTCTCGCGCCGCCACCGCCATGGCCAGGAACCACCAGGTGCAGAAGGCCAAGCTGGCCGAGCAGGCCGAGCGCTACGAGGACATGGCGGACTTCATGAAGGCCGTGGTGGAGCACGGCGACGAGCTGTCCAACGAGGAGCGCAACCTGCTCTCGGTGGCCTACAAGAACGTGGTGGGCTGCCAGCGCTCCGCCTGGAGGGTCATCTCCAGCATCGAGCACAAGACGGAGGAGGGCGACGACAAAGCGCAGCTGGTCAACGAGTACCGGGAGAAGGTGGAAGGGGAGCTCAAGAGCGTCTGCAACGTGGTGCTGGGCCTGCTCGACAAGTTCCTCATCAAGAAGGCCGGCGATGCCGAGAGCAAGGTCTTCTACCTGAAGATGAAGGGCGACTACTTCCGCTACCTGGCCGAGGTGGCCACGGGCGACGACCGCAAGGAGACCATTGACAGTGCCCAGAAAGCCTACCAAGAGGCCATGGACATCAGCAAGAAGGAGATGCAGCCCACGAACCCCATCCGCCTGGGGCTGGCCCTCAACTTCTCCGTCTTCCACTACGAGATCGCCAACGCGCCCGAGCAGGCCATCGCGCTGGCCAAGACCACCTTTGACGAGGCCATGGGGGACCTGCACACGCTCAGCGAAGACTCCTACAAGGACAGCACCCTCATCATGCAGCTGCTCAGGGACAACCTCACGCTATGGACAGCCGAGTGCTCGGGCGAAGACGGCGGCGAGCCTGGCGAAGAGCCCAAGAACTGAACTGGCGCCGCGGGGCCGGGCCCGGCGCCCACCTCCTCCCGTCTCCGGTTTTCCGTGATTTGGGTTTCTTTTTTTTTTTTTTTGGGAGGCGTCTCGGTTTGCCCTGCTCCCCCAGGAGCAGTGGCTGCCGATCCGATCCGGGGGCTCTCCCGGCACCGGGGAGCGCGGCGGGCGCCGGGACGCCCCTGCTCAGCTCCCGCTTGGCTCCCTTCTCCATTCCCGGCGAGCCGGGCGAAGCTCCGGGCCGATGGGGGGTTCGGGGCTTTCGGCTTGTCCTGCCTCTTCCCCCGGGTGTCGGGGGGCACCGAGCGGCGGCCCAAGCGTCCCCAATAAAGGTTGCCGTGCACGCCTGCCTCTGTGCTCTGCGTGGTCTCTGCGGGAGGAGGAGGAGGAGGGGGACGAAGGGCGCGCGGGAGCGGGGCGGCCATGCCGGTCCGGGCGGGATGGGGAGCTTCCCACAGGGCGGGGTGGGGACAGGGCTGGGGAGCCCCGGGAACGGGATGCACTGGTTGTCCTGCGAATCCAGGGCAGTCCAGGGGGCTCTTCCCAGTGCCCCCCATGTGGTTCCCTGGCAGAGCTCCCTGCCGTCCAGGCCCTGCTCCGGGGGCTGTTCCGCGCCTCACGTCGGGCCCCGGCCGGGCCCCCCCGCAGCGGCGCAGGCCCCGACACGAGGCGGCCCCGACACGTCAGGCCGGGCGCCCGGGGCGGGAATGAGCTCATGGATGCAGGGAGGAGCCGGCCCGGCGGGCGGGAGCGCCGCTTTGATGGGAAAGGCTGGGAGCAGCCGCCCCGTGACTCAGTCACTGGCGCCCACTCTGCTGAGCCCCCCCACACCAGGGCCCGATACCCCCGAGGCTCCCCCAGGGGCTCCCTCACTGGGGAAACTGAGGCACGGACGGGTACCCTGCAGGTGCCAACCCCCCATCCCCATCCGCATCCCATCCCCATCCCTTTCCCCATCCCCATCCCCATCCCTGTCCCCATCCCTGTCCCCATTCCCATTCCCATCCCGGGATGCTCCTTGGGCCGGGCTGGCCCCAGCCCCTCTTGGGCTCCCTGGGGACCCGCCACTGCTGCACTGAGCTGTGCGCGTGCTCAGCAGGGCCGGCCTCGTGGGAACGCACTGGCTGTGCCGTGTGGAGCCAAACCTGTTCTCCCGGGATGCGCCGCCCCGGGGCCCTGCTGGGATTAACCCCTGAGCCCCCCACGCGGCTGCTTCGCCCCCTCCCCAGCCCCTCGCCCACCCGCCAGCCCTGCTGGGAGCCAAACCCAGGGCCAGCTCCCCCCAAAACCAGTGGGTTTGGGGGTACGTGGGCAGCACCGCTGCCACGTGCGGCACCCGCTGCGCGCGCTGGCTCTGCGGGACACCAGGGCTGCCAAGGGGTTAAGCGGGTGCCCAGGCGGCAGCAGGAGCCGGATTTCGACAGCACCCGAAATCGCAGCCCGGCTGGGTGGGCTGGGGCGCCCCGGCCCCCTCCCCAGCCCGCGGAGCCGCTTTGTGGGGCCAGGGGCTCCCACCGGGGCTGTGCGAGGGCCGGGGGCCGGTGATGGCATCGCGGGCACCGGGGCTGCTCAACACACCCGCGTTTGGGGCTCCAAAGCCCCGAGGCCGGCGCGATGCTCCTGCCCTGCAAGGCAGCAGCTTTCGGGGTGCCTGTGGGGGGCATTTTGGCAGCCCCAGCTCACGAGGGCTCAGCTGCCCGAGCCCCCCAGGGCCAAATGCGACCCGGGCAGCGTTTGCCTCCCTGGAGCTCCACATTTCTTGGCCGGGACCAGGCAGAAGGTTCCCGGGATTTTGGGTCTCCCTCTGGCGCTGGCACAGCCCCCAGGGCTGGGGTGGCAGATACTGCGTGGGTATTAAAATAAGAGAGCCCAGCTGCCGCAAACGCTTTGATGGTGCTTTCATAACACCGCTCTGACCTGCCAATACCCTTTTAAGCTCCAAATCTCTCAAAGCCATAAAAATCAGCCATAAAAATCTCATTTTATAATCACTTCTTGCATCCCCTTAATGCAACCACAGGGCCCAATGAGATGAATAAGACTGAAGACTGCAAGGTGCAGATGCACGGGTGACATTTTAGCTCTGATTTTCAGCTTGAATTCCAGCCTTCCAGCCTGAGATAGTGCTGAAACGCAGCCACCACAACCAGCAAGAGCCAGGGAGATCCTGGCGCTTTTAGGAGAAGCGTTTAGGAGCTGATAACTGAGAGCAGATGGGAATTTGACTTTTATATTTGAAATGGCTGCGTAATCTCTTAGCACGATGATCCAGCTGATGTGCACAGTTGTGTGTGCGCCTGGCAGCGGTGTCTTCCCACCCTTGTGCCCGGCCACCTCCCTGTCTGCACGTCCCCAAGTTCTGGTCACAGAAAGCTGCGTGTCCCACGGGGGACACAGAAGAGGTGGTGCGTGCGGGCTGAGAGCAGCTCATCCCTGCCAGGAGGCACAACCGGCCACAGAGGGAATTCCACAGGATTGAGGAAAGTCCCACGACTTGGGATGTGAAGAAGCTCCTGTGAAAAAACCATGGCCAGAAAAGAAGGAAGGGGGCTGAGGGCAGCAAACACAGCAGCCGGGGAAGGGCCTTGCTGCAGACCAGGAGCTCCAGCCTCACCCAGGGTCTTTCTTAATCCAAAGCCCCAGCTCCGGAGAGGAGCCACCTGCCTTCCCACCCGCTCTCTCCAGCAAACGCTCCGGCTGTTCCCAGGTGGATCGCAGGGAAAGGCAACGTCGTGAGCGTGCAGCGCTGCCGCAAACTGCACGAGGCAGCGGCCGCTGTGACGTTGCCACCAGCGGCTCTCTAGCCCCGGGCTTTGCAGCACTCTCAGTTTTATTTATTCAGGTTCAGCAAACTCACCAGATGAAAGCAAGATGGAGAGGTATTTTATTAAGAAAGAGTCCGTCATTATTTTTAAAACAAAGAAAAACAAGCATCCTTCTGTCCTCCTTGAGACAGATGAAAGGTTTCTGAGCCTGGCCGCACCTCTCAATATGAGGACCGTGCACGTTCCTCCTATGCAGCAAATCAAGAACCTCTGTTACAAAACTCACTGCAGAAGAGACAGCTCGAACTGACCTTTTTCTCTCTGGATCAACCTTAGTCATGATCAGGAGAGCATTGGCAAAGGCCGGTTTGCTGCGTCTTGCCTCTCCTGCTAACCCTGCCTTAACCTGCGGAATCTCTCCTGTTCCTAAGGAAAGAGCAGCTGTGCCCTCAGCTGCACGGTGTCTGCGAACACGTTGCTCTGGGCAGAAGCCCCAGAGATGGAGCCTAAGTGCAAAGGCTGTTGCTTAGGCTGAGCCCAGCGACGCAGGGACTCCCGTACACAGGGCGAGCTGTCGGAGCAGCAGGCAGCCGGGCAGGGCCGCGCGCTACGGCTCCATGTCGTCCTCTTCCACGGCCTCGTCCTCACATCGCACGTACTTCTCCTGCACTGCGAGCGTGCTGGCAACTCGCAGATCAAGGAAAACAGGACACAGGGGCTGGCCCCAACGCACAACCCCAGCGTTAGCCTGGGGGCTGCCAGCACGACAGCAGTGCTGGTAACAACATGCAGCAGCTGGGTTATTTCTGGCTCTGGTTGATCACAAACCTGACAACTACAGGGGAATCAATTATACGGTTTGGACAAAGTGGAATGAAACAGTGCAAGTGAGCATGAATAAGAGGGAAGATGTCAAAAGATTCCTCCCGCTTTTAAGATATCAATTAACAACAAATGTGGTGGCTTTGGTGTGGGCAACTGTCTGCTAAGATCTGGGCTGAGCCATGCCGACCTGCTGCACATTTAGCACCAAACAGCATCACTAACCACCTGCTTCTGCAAACTGCCAGCTCCTCATGCAGCCCAAGCCACGAGAGACCAAGACTGAAGGCAACGGAGGAGAAGTGGAGAAGGATACGAAGTGAAGTGGAAATCAGCTCCCATCGCTGTCGACATGAGAGCTTCCAGGCTCCTGTGCTCCTGGTCTCCAAAGCAATAGCCGTTGGCTTTGTCCACCGCCTGCATCACCCGCCGCATGCTCTCCTTGTCCTGGAAGCAGAGGAGGGGACACTCAGGGACACTGAGCCCTCCCTGGAGGCGAGAGCCAGCGCTGCGAGCGCTGCAGAGCGAGCCACGCAGAAGGGCTGGAGCTGCAGGCCGGGCTTCCCTGGAGCCTCCGGGAGGCTCCGAGGTGCCGACAGCCTCCCGCCCCCTCCTGCCACCTCTCAGCACCTCTCCCTCCGTGGCCTCTTCAGCAGGCTGCAAAGGAACATCGCAGCCCTGCCTCACAAACGTGTCCCTCCCATCTTCTAATTATCTTGTGCTGCCCAATTTAACGATGTAATACTTCACCCAACATTGAAATGCAGGCGCAGAAGAGATGTCCGTCTCGAACACAAGGCCTGTGTAGCCCCAATCTCATTAGCTTTTCCTTTTCCTTCTGTGGTCCCAAACCACTAACAAGTCTGGGTGTCTTTCACTGTCCTTTTCCACCCCTGTGTCTCCTGATATTAAAGCTCTCCATCCCTCATGGCTCTGTTTCTTGCAGCCAGGACTCGGGGGGCAGAGGCGGTGAGGGATTCTGTGCACGACCGTGGCAGCTGCCCCCTTCTCCTGCCTGCAGACCCAACCCAGCGGCTACTCAACGTGCTGGCCACAAGCCCAGCGCTCCCTGCCCACCTCTCCTGCTGCAGTACCTGGACGTTGAGCGGAACGAAGGACACGAGGCTGTAGTCTTCAATCACCTCCACCAGCTTCTCGTTGAGACGGCGGTAGTTTTTAAAGAAGGGGTCAGAAGCTAAATGTTCAACCAAGTAGGAGAGGTCCAGGACTTCCGTGTAATAATCCAAGTTGAAGGCTGCGAGGAAACACCAGCCAAGGACCTCTCAGCACCTGCCTCCAGAGCAGGATCCAGCCCTCACATGGGCTAAACGTGCTCCAGACGTGCCCATCTTTCTACCTGCACTAGCGCTTAGCATGACTCTGCTCCCAACTCTGCAGCTACTGGGGCTCCCCAGCCAGAATGGGCCACCAAGAACCGAGAACCATCCACACCGGTTGCCCAACCGTCCCCCAGAGACACAAAGGCTGCAGTGAAGCAGCCAGCCCGCCCTGCCCCGCGTTGCTGCCGCCACGGCTCTCACCCAGCTTGCCGTACTGCTCGATCAGGTCCATCTTGGAGAGCACGTTAACGTGGGGCAGCTCCACGTGCAGCATGGTGGACAGCGAGGTGCAGAGCACAGAGATGAACTTGCCAGGATCGGTGCAGTAGTGAGAATCCACCAAGTGGACTGCAGCCAGCTGCACGGCACAGGCACAAGGTCACACACAGCAAACGGTCCCTCCGCTCTTTTTTGGGACAATCCAAGAAGTGGCTACAGGACAATCTGTTCAGACCCAACTATAACCTCATCGGTGCCCACAAAATGACAGTTACCACCTAACTTCTAGCTTATATATATGAAATATCCTCCTCGTACAAAGGGACTTGGGCAGTGCTAACAGACACTTCAGCTTGCTGCTGCTCTCCTCTTTCTCAGGACTTGTTTCTTTTGCAGATGAAGCAAATACAGACGCTGGTCTGAGCTCTGCAGGGTGGGAGTTGGGCTTAACTCTCATTCCGAATTACAGGGCTGCCATGAGCCTTCCACCTTGCCCACAGCAATGCTTGTGCACGGCGAGCACTCGGTAGCAGTAACCGTAGCACGCCACGCTGTGCCGGGAGAAACAATTGGCATGTGGTTTGAAATAATAATTAATAATTAAATTAATGAGCAGCTCGATTCCCCGGGTTTCATGCAGAGGTAACGATGTGGTCGAAGGTCTCTGTTAAGTTGCTGCCTGTTACACGAGGTTAGTCAAATGCAGGGCTCTGCAGGCGAGCGCGGCTCGGTCTCAGCTCCGCTTCTGCAGCAGAAAAAGCAAGTTCAAAGCCCACAGGCAGCTGCAAGCACTGAACTGAACATCAAAAAAAGGAGTGTAACCATCTTTTTTTAGCAACTGGAATTTCACGTACGTTTACTTGAACAAAAATCAATTCTAATGCGCAGATTCCCAGTGACATTCTCAAGCAAAGGAACCTGCCTTTCTTGCTCACACCGTACGTGGTTTGCACATTCATGGTTTGGCCCCAATGCAAAACAAATGCAACGTAGGCAAGTTTAGGGCCCCGGTTATGGGACTCTTCTCACCTGCATTTCCTAATTTGCATCTTCCGTTGTGCAAGAAAGCGCCCGGCACGTCTGCCAGCGCGCGCAGCGACTCGGGCCGGCTGCAGGAGTGGCAGGCAGCGCCTCAGATGACGCCCGACTTTCTCACAGTGCAGTGCCAAGGATTCCCGCTGCCCCGGCACAGGAATCTACCTCCCTGCTCCAAAATGCAGCCCCACCTCAGATAAAACGCATGAGCTCTGCAGACAGGAGCTGCGAGCAAGGCGAGAGTCTGCGAGGGGAGAATCCACGTGTTCTGCCCCTGAGAAGGACACTGGCAAGGTCCTGGACAAGTCCCTGGTCTTGCCAACCCCTCCAGGCATGAAACGGGGACAAACCCCTTCATCTTCCCTCACAAACCCCTTCAACACAAAAGGACGAAGAGGTCGGGCAAGAAAACAGCCGCTAGCCCCCCATCCACGACGAAAAGCTCCCACGTCCAGGTACAACCCCCCTGAGGCCACACGGGTGCAGGGGGTGACCCCGGCTGCCCGCGGAGCCCCCGACCTACCCTGAAGTCCCACTTGGCCAGGCGGGCGAAGACGTTCCTCAGGGCGCCGTGGTGCGTGTAGAGCTCCACCTGGCCCGGGCAGTCGAAGAGGACGTAGTGGCCGCGGAGGGCGGCCAGCTTCTCCTGCAGCCAGTCCACGTTGGCCTCCAGGTACTCCATGCAGTAGATGAGGCCGCCGTTGGGCCCCAGCTTGAGGCTCTCCATGACGTCGGGCAGCGTGACGAGCTCGGCCACGTCGGCGGCGCGCTCGTAGGGCGTCGCCTCGTTGGCGGGGTCCAGGTTGACGACGGCGGCGCGGCGGCCGAGCGCGCGCAGGAACTGCTGCATGCCGTGGCAGTAGGTGGTCTTGCCCGAGCCCGGCGGCCCGATCACGGCCTGCCCGAAGGCCGGCGCGGCCGCGCGGCCGCCGGACATGGCGGCTCCGTCCCGGCTCCTCCTGCCAAGGCCAACGGCGCCGCTCGGTTCCGAGGCTCCAGCCGCGCTCGCGGGCGGCCTCGTGGGCCGCGCGGTGTGGTCCCGCGTGTCCCGTTATCCCGCCCCGGGGCCGCGCGGGGGGGCCGCCCTCGGGGGTAACTCCTGTCCCGCGCGGGCCCTTCCCGTGGGACGAGGCGCGCGTGGCCCCCCCGGGCTGCGGCGCTGCCCTCTCGCGTGGCCACCGGCTGCCCCGCGCCCCCTCGTGTCCTCCATGT